AGACCTCTAAGGCCCCTCCCTACATGAATCCCACTGGTCCTGACTATGGCTGTATTTGCTGCTTTGAGATCTGTGAATGCCAAAGCACCTTCTCAAATGTCATCACAAGCGCCAGTTTCCTCCTAGGTGGAGTCCCTGAAAGCCACAATAGAAGAGCATCTCCTATAAGTATCCTTTGCACCACTGAGATGCTCTCCAGAGCCCTTCATCTCTTTCAGACTTAAGGCAGCGCTTGGCAGATTATCCTGCAAATGGTTTCATTCCCCCAATCTATAAAATCACCCAGGATATGTTGAGGTCTAATGGAGGATTACATGTTTTACAAAATGTATTGTCTCACCAATAACCTGCCTTACCATGTTTGCTTGTAATTCCAACTTCTGCTTTTAACAGCATTTGTGAAAAAATAAAGAGCCAACAAAATAAAGGCTCGGGAATACAGATCTTGACAAGCAGAAAGTCACTCAGATAAAGGGCTCCCGTTCCCTTTCTCAAACTAATTTGTGCAGTGTCTGCTTCAGAGTTTGATTTGATTCGTTTTGCTTTGTGATGATGAAGGTTGCATTGGGGAATCAAAACTTTCAGATTTCTTTAATCATTGCAGTGACGAGAGAAAAGTCTTCATGTACCTACTCAGCTTTCCTTAGCCAATTACATATCCCTTTCAACAGGCTAGCTGGGTCATTTCTAAAACTGTTTGCTAAACTAATTAAAAAAAAATCCTACATGAACTGTCTAGCATTTAATCAGTGAAATAACAGATTGAAGAAGGTATTAATGTCAGAAAAAAATGGATAACTATTTTTCCCAGCCAAAGAAGAATAGAGAAGGTGTTTAGAAAACAGTCTTTAAAACAGATTTGCTTTCAAACATTCCTGCTTCATATATACTTAATATATACTTAGAATAGCATCAGGGGTGAAATTCAGCTGGTTCTATCCGGTTCGGGAAAACCGGTAGCGGTGGCTGTGGGAGGCTCCGCCCACCCATGTGGACGTCATGATGTCACTTTTTTGCGACAGTTTAAGCCTCTGCGCATGCGCAGACAATGGTGCGTCCGAGCGGAGTGAGCGCGCATGCGGCGCACACAAATTTGCAAATTGGTAGGGAAGGTAAGTGAATTTCACCCCTGAATAGAATCCATCACTCAAAGATGCTTCATGGATGCTCTTCAGAAAAAAATGAATTTATAGCTAATCAGAAAGGAAGATGGATTTCTTCTTCTATCTAAAATAATTTCTTGATATGGAAGGTGGACTTATTAATACGCTTCAGCATGCAATAATAATCAAGATCAGTGCAATCTCTGAATGAGGAAAGATTCTGGGCTTAACGGAGGTTAAGGAATGAGGAAATTGGTACATGATTTTCCTACTTAAACATCCTTGTTTGATTGGCATTAGCACTGCTGCCCTCTAGCTTTCCATCGTAGTCCTTCACTTGACCAAGAATTAAGCCAGCAGAAGTCACAAATGAGGTTTTGGGGTTGGAGAAAATATTGATGTGGGGAAATGAATTGTCTTCCTCACAAGCTTCCTTGGGCATCCCCCAGACCCAGAAGTTCCTGTCTGAAGAAGCAAGAGTGCTGTCTGGAGACTCCAAACCAGAATAGAAATCCTACCACTATCACATTCTTTGGACATCATTTTTGTTCCTTTTGAGTTTTGCCTAGTAGTCACAACTGAAACTTCACATTCTGCCTCCCCACAATTAATCGTGTAATTGGCCATATAGCTTTCTTCCAGGATTTCAAGGTGACTTACCTCATTCCTTACTTTTATCCTCCAGACATCTTGAGATGAGAAAAAGGATCTGGGTCAAAGTCACCCATGGAATTTTCATGGCTGAAAAATGGACTTCAACTGGGATCCCCTCAAGTCATAGACCAACACCTTAGTCACAATACCAGGTGGATTCTGGTTGTGGACCATAACAATAAAGTTATTAGATGAGTTGCTTCTGATTATTCTTATGTCTGGTTGTGGTTTCTAAAAACTTACTTGTTGCTGCTCTTAACTGTGCAGTTTCTTTTCATATTGTCAACTAGCAATTCTTCAAATTAGGAACCTACTCACTTAAATCTTGATCCTCACTGTCAATCAATTCTGTTATTGTTTGAGAAGAAAGTCAGTTCATAAAATCTATAAGTTCTCTTGGAGACAAAACTAGCTTGTATTGTTTTGAAACAAGTACAAAGACAGAAACAGCCTCGTTACTCGAAGCAATGTGATAACACGGCCATATTTGTAGTAAAATAGCACTGTAATTGGCTTACTACATATGAGTTGAGTTGCTGTTAACAATTATTGAAAACATATTCAAATGATCTATTATTTCTAATTGTAATTTTGGTCCATTTCATTCCGTTCCATCTTCTTTGTTTCAGAACCATGGCTACAATACAAATATTGTACAAATCAGAGCTAACTCAAGATACTACACAACTCTACAAACCTTCCTTGTATAATCTGAAACATATAATCCAAGATCTCTTTTGCCAGGTATCCATTTGTTGCAGAGAAGAGCAACAAAGATTAGGGGGCTGGAGGCTAAAACATATGAAGAACAGTTGCAGGAATTGGGTATGTCTACTTTAATGAAAAGAAGGACCAGGGGAGACATGATAGCAGTCTTCCGATATCTCAGGGGCTGCCCCAAAGAAGAGGGAGTCAAGCTATTCTCCAAAGCCCTTGAAGGCAGGATGAGAAGCAATGGATGGAAACTCATCAAGGGGAGAAGCAACCTAGAACTAAGGAGAAATTTCCTGACAGTGGGAACAATTAAGCAGTGGAATGGTTTGCCTCCAGAAATTGTGGGTGCTCCATCACTGGGGGCTTTTCAAAAGAGAATGGCCAGCCATTTGCCACAAATGGTATAAGGCAGAGATCAGCAACCTGCGGCTCTGGGGCCACATGTGGCTCTTTCACCCCTCTGCTGCGGATCCCTGTCACTCAAAATATGTGTCACAACCGCCAATGTGCAACACCACCGGCACGCAATTTATTGAGCTTTTCAACCCCCGGTAGGCCAACCATGGATAAATCCAAGAAAAGAAAAGTTTCAGAATAAAACAGAACATTTAATTCAACTACATAGGCTAGTTTTGTGGCCGCTCAAGAAATAGTCAGACACAGGAAGGGTTTTGTGGCTCCCGGTGTTTTCTTTTCTGTGGGAAACGGGTCTAAATGGCTCTTTGAATGTTTAAGGATGCAGACCCCTGGTATAAGGTCTCCTGCACAAGCAGGGAGTTGGACTAGAAGACCTCCAAGGTCCCTTCCAACTCTGTTATTCTGATCATTTAACTCCTCCATGACCAGCTCCTGAGTGCTGAAGAGAATGCAGCCACAGGGATCTCAAGACTCTTGCTGGAGACTTGCTGAAAGAATAAAGGAAATTATTCCCACATGGCCCAGCCTTAGCAACTGACAAGACTAGTTTTTATTATTCCACTGAAAGTCGAAGAGCAAAAGAGAAGTGAAGGAAACATGACCTATGGCTGTGCAGGAGTCACTGAGGTGGCAGCATGAATTCTCCCACTATAACCCTAATCCCATGTGCCTGATCAATGGTTTCTGGAGCGGGACAGTAAACTCTGCAGTTACCTCTGAATTGCTTCACTGGTGGCATCCCAAATGAAGGCAGCTCCTAAAACAAATTTCATATTTCATCTACCCCTAAAATGGAAGGATTATCTCAGATCTATGAGCTCCCATTCTATATTGCAGAAATTTCTGGGATTTTGAAAAGATTTGTATCACAAATCACAAATGGGATTTGGGGATATTTAAGTACTCTTTCACTATAGTGGTAACAGATGTTCAATGATATATTTAATTTTTAGGTTTAGCGAAATAACATAGATCATTGGTTATTTTCAGTAAAAAAATAATTCCTGAAGGATGCCTGAGTGTACAATAGTTCTGGAGAATTTATTTCAGCCTTTGAGCTACCGATCTAAAATGGGAAATTAGTGTGAGAGTGTTTGAACAAGTCTAATAGGATTTCTAGTTTGCCAAAAAAATAATGCTTTCAGAAGCACAATCTTTGGTGTAATCTCTCTCACACACAACAAGACAGATGGCATCATTAATTGCCTCTATATCTAATTAAGTTGGGGGGGAAAAAAACTCGGCTTAAGTAATGCTAAAGTTGTGGCACAAACTGGGAAACGTAGGAAATTGCAAGGTAGAACCCCTGGGAAAAAGAAAAATGGGCTGATGTGGATGATGAAAGGATGGAAGGAAATTTATGCACTGTAGGCAAAAGGGCGAAGACTTTGCTCCAGGGGAGGAAATGACATGGAGGAGAGAAAAAGACCAAACTGCTATTTAGTTGGGCACCTTGGCAGCACAAAGTTAAATGTAATACAACTGGACCTCAGCCAGAATAAAATGGAAGGTTTTGCTCCCAAATCAAAACAAACCTTGCTTCGTTTTATTCCCAAGTATTTTCATTTGTTTCCAAGATAAGCAATAATTTGGCTAGACGCAGAGGGGAGACTGACTTGCACACAGGGGTCATTTACAGAATCACCGGGCTGGAAGGGCCAATCTCCTGCCCAAGGTAGAATACCTGATACCATCCTGAAAAACGGATGTCTAGTCTTTTCTTGAAAAACTCCGTTCCCTTGGGTTGATTTATTCTCCAGCTTTAAAACACAAATATTCCACCAGGAATCTACCCATCAGTTTTTAATACTTTCCCCTTGATGTCAAGGAACAGAAAACGGATGGCTAAATGACAAATGTAGATTTTGCAGTCACCCCTGGAGAAATGTAAACAAAGTAGAAAAACTCCGTGAACCTAAAGGCTAAAAGGGATGAGCATTTATTCTGGATTTTCCACAGCACATATTTCTGAGGATCCAGGGTTAATTAGGGTGCAGGACTAATGAAAGAAAACACTTTGCTGCACACGTACCCTCCGACCCCAGGAACCCAGTGATTCTGCAGTGCTGGCGAGAGTGCCAAAGGAACTGAAGCTTTACCTTTATGGCTCACCTGCTGCCTCAAGGACTGCGGGTGGATGAAAGTCACAAAGTCGATAGAAAAGTATCCAACCACTCCTCTGGATTTGCAGGCCTCCCCAATTTTAGAACACAGCAGATGAAGGCGCTTGGGTTCAACGGACGCCTGAGGGAGGGTCGTACCCGAAGACCGCAAGGGACCTTCGGCGTGAAACTGGTCCCCGCAGGAAACCATCGTGACCTCCCCGGTGGGTTCAATCAGCATGTCCACGGTGAGGCTGGTGATGCTGTCGGAAGGTGGGAAGGCTTCTACGACTCCACCTGGTCGGAGAAAGAAGAGCACCATCAAGCTAACTCATTGTACCCTCTACAAATGTAGAAAGGATTATTTTTAAAACAATTGTTACGGCCTTATCACAAGCAGAGTTTCCAAAAGTAGGTAAATTAAATTCCATCACTTATTGTAGAAGCTGCTCCTGGTTAAATGGGAAAAGTGATTCTGGCTTTGCCTGGACTTGTAAGGTGCAGTTTCTTGGGTGGCTGTGGTTATATTAGCAGGAGAATTGGGTATAGGCTGCGCAACGTGACACTGAGTAGAGAAACCCCACTCCTAATGCTATGGTTGAGTTGGTAGTCTTAGAAATCTAAATTTGAAATAAATGAATCAATTTCTTGGTGTAGGAAAATAGAAGGGCTTCTTATTTCCCCTGAATGGGGAAAAGTATCCTGTGTCAGGGTTCCAAGCAATACACCCATAACGAACAGAACTCTGAGGCAGGTAGATTCCTCAAAGAATAGCTTTATTGGATATATCATATTGGCACAGATCTGGTGAAAACCGACTCTGAAGGTCCCCACGGTTTTCACCTAAGGACTGACCACACTGCCCATATTCCATCTTTCTCTTTCAGAGCAGAAGGATGGGGAAGGAGCAAAGTAAGGAAACAGCATCCAATGGTGGTAGGTAGGTAGGTAGGAAGAGGACACTCCGTGTTGATAACCTAAGTCCTGCAGGCCCAAAATTCTCCTGGCTGAGTTGTAAGGAACCGTAACCATTTTCTGACTCAATCTGAAAGTCATATTTACTGTTACATAGCCAATGTTGGCGGGTTCTAATTTTCTGTATACAAGAAGAATCGCCAGATTCTTCTTATATACAGAAAGACAAGCGAGAACAAACCCACTTGGGACCTCCAGGGAGGGAAGAGGTATTTGCTGTATATATGTGTATGTATGTATGTACCTATGTATGTATGTGGTAATTGATATATGTAGCTTCTAATTCCTAAACATGATGACTGCAAAACTGCTTGAAAATGTCTCATGTGGTCTCCAGAGGGCAGAGAAGGAGATGAACAGAACTGATGGAAGATGAGGATTCAGTGGCCTTTATCGCTCCTGTTCCTCGCAAATTCTAACTAGCCAAAGTTTGTGAGTAAAGAAAGAAACATGAAACACAAAGAGACATTTTCACAACTGCTCCTCTATGCTGTGATGTCCATGGCCCATGCATGGCCTTGGGCATTTTCCCAGCACCACAATGGGACTCCCCCCCACCCCAAGACCACAAATACCATCAGAAACCCAGGGACAGCCTCTCCAAACAGTTTTGTGCCATTTATGTTACGTTTACTCATCCTAAAGCGGGACAGAAATGTAACTATGGAGGTAACTTTAGAGAAGGGAGGGAGGTGGGAGTCTCAAAACCATTGTCCAAAATTGGTGAGATCGAAGATGGCTGCCTGTATTTCATTCTTAAAAAGATAAAAACTGTAACACAGGGAAGGGAAGAGGGTGGAAGTGGAGAAATATCCCAATGAATGAGAACAAAGTGCTGGCGATATAATTATCCCTGATAGCACTTAGCAGGAATGTAACAGTCTTATTTACCTTGACTCACAAACGTTTGGAGGAATTTCCCCCATGTAGGAAATCGTTTCTCATTGACAGCCTGAGCGTGCTGTGCTAAAAGGCCCGGCAGCTCCTGAGAGAGCTTCACCAAAGCTGGTTCCTGCAGAAACAAATTAAATAGAACCACAAGCAATTTTACTGCAGAAATGAAAACGGCTTGTGGGGTGATTAAAAACCAGGCCTCCAACAGGCAGTGTGGTTACTGTTTAACCACAGCCAGGAAGCCTCTTTTGAAATGTTTCCCCTATCTTCCTTCATGTATCTGGCAACTTTTGGGGGTTCCCCCCTCCTCAGCAATCTCTTCCTTACAAAAGAAAGAAGGAATATATTTTTTAGCCCTAAATTTAACGACACAAATGGGGAATTAAGTGATTAAAACCATTCATGTTTGCCTATTGGGAAGCTTTTAAAAGATAGGGATTATCTCTTTACTCAAAAGCTTTCCCCCACCCTCACATGTAGAACCCACATTTGTGGAGTCTCCCCCAATTCTGCACTCCATATAGTTTTCACGTGCACCCCATCACCTCAGGCCAAGGTATCTGAAGATAGTTAGCATTGGGGAGGCTACTTTGGATCTCAACTCTTGGTTTGGCTCTGGTGTCATCTCCTCAGCTCTTGTCCTACCTCACAAGTAGTCACTTCTGACTTACATCGTTTTGGTTGTTGGTCCCTCATTCAAAACTGCCCTCAATTAAATCAAAGCCCACATAAGTAAAACTGGGATCAGTTGGGTGCAGGACATAAAGGGATGCTGAGACAAGAGGCAGGCCATGTAGGATGCTTCCCAGGGGCCTAAAAGAGCCACGGATTTGCACACACACAAAAGGCAACAACCCAGACCAAGGTCTTAACTTCACGGTTTCAGTCAGGCCCGCAGTCTGGAAGCTGAGCAAGCACATCAAACTTGGGAACTTTGCACATCACGTTCCAGGTCACTCTTCTCTCACTACTTCACGATCGCTTCCCTCTTTCCCTTGAGCCTTTTTCTTCTGCTTCACGACCCCTTGAAATTAGAAATGTCCCATGCTCCAAAGAGGACTAATTGCCCCTTCACACCACAATCCTTGGACTCTGTTCTTGCTTCTCCTGACTCCCTCACGCCTTTCGTCCTCCTGTTTGAAGAGGGGCTCTCTCCGTTTCTAAATGCTTTGAGTTGGGGTCTGTGCTTTGTCCACTGAAGAGGGCAGATACGGACACCTCTCCTTTTCCATTTGTCCAAGGGCAGCTTCTGAATTTCAAACCCCAAAATATATTTTTGGATTGTCTGGAAACAGAACGGCTCCCTCTTCAGCATGTGGGTTGGTTAACTTATTTGGGACATCTACTGCCTGTAGGTAGAGAGTCCCTGAACACAGCTAAATCTTTTTAAATGTTTGAATAAAGATGCAAGAGGTTGGTTCTGGGAGATTGTATGCCATTCAGCCTACCTTGAATCAACCAGAAAGCAGGAATTATACTGCATGTGGTTCAACAAAACTCGACCAGCAGTTTTTGCAAAGGGAAACTCTTATCACAAGGTGTTATTATCAGTCTTTAAAAAGAACTAGCTAATTTGCTGGGAGTTGGGCAGCATGCTATTATTATGGTTCATCACTCAGCCAGCCAGTTTTTTGGACTGGATCTGGCATTTTTGTCCACCTATCGAGTCCTTCCTAAGCACCCAGGAGAGGTAGATGTGGATCTTCGACGGTTTTAAAGATATTGTGGCAAGATGTAAGCTGCTCCAAGCAAAGTTGCCTTTTGCAATTGACTGATGGGGATTTTGTCAATGTCAGTATTATCATTATTATTAGTAATAATAATCCAGTGATCCCAGTGGTTATTGACACACAGGATGCCCTTTCAAAAACTCTTGAATGACACTTATAAAATCTGTAGATTGACAACATTTCCATACACCAATACATTAGAACAATGATGGCTAACCTTTTTGCCATCACATGCCAAAAGCTGGGGGAGTGCAGGGTGGTTGCGTGCGCGTGTGCCCACATCCATAATTCTATGTGCCCTGTCCCCCTCATGCATGCGCACACGACCCCACCCATACTCCCCTGGCTTTTGGCATGTGATGGCCCGATGGGTCAGGTAGGCCCGTTTTTCTGCCCTCCCCAGGCTCCAGAGGCTTTCTAGGAGCCTGGGGAGGGCAAAAACAGCCTCCTCCCCCCCCGGAAACAGCCCGTTTCCTGACTTCCGGTGGGCCCAGAAGGCCCAAAAATCAGCTGACCAGTACGCGCATGCATGCTGGAGCTCAGCTAGGGCAACACTCGCGTGCCCACCAATATGGCTCCACGTGCCATCTGTGGCATGCGTGCCATAGATTTGCCATCACGGCATTAGAACATCCTAGATTCTTGGGGAGGACTCCATGGCCAGCTAATGAACTGGCCACTGCAATTTCACTTCTTCTTCTTCTTCTTCTTCTTCTTCTTCTTCTTCTTCTTCTTCTTCTTCTTCTTCTTCTTCTTCTTCTTCTTCTTCTTCTTCATCATCATCATCATCATCATCATCATCATCATCATCATCATCATCTGGTTGCTCAGGATTCCTAGATTTTCAGAAAGCCTTTGGACAAGTTACACTTCTTAAGAAGAAGGGAGAGGCCATGCGTAAGGGAAGTCTGTTTGAGCTGCCAAGGTCACTTGATATTAAGAGTGGCAACCATGAATGGTGAACCTTCTCCAGCCTGTGAGTTCTTTCTACAGTTGGCAGAGAGAAAATGTGCAGAGCTACGCGGAGGAGGAATGTCTTAATAGGCTATAGATTGCAGTGCCGTGCAATAGCACTGAACCGGCTGAAAAGGACCATATAGACAAGAGACGGAAGAATGAATGACTTGTGGTTTCTTTCATGTATAACTAATTTGGGAACTAGTGAGAATTAATGATTTCCCATATGGAGCGCAGGGAGGGAAGGGAAGACTGCAGGGTCCACAAAAATGCGCTTTTCATTGATTAACGCTAGTGAGATGTTCTGCCTGCAAATCAATACATACCATTAAGTTGCTTTGGTCTTATTGTCTTCGAATTAGGAAAGGCCATTCCATCCAGTCTTCCTGGGTTGGATCCCAGGATATTTATCTCAGGATATTTAATATCTGAGATATTAATTTCCAATCCAAAAATAAACAAAAACAACCAAATCTTTGTAATGTGTCCTTTCGTACCAAGACTGTTCAAAGGGTTTTTCTTTCCTTCTGTTTGCAATTAATCTGCAGAAGCGAAGATGATTTTACTTCTTAGGAGGTTCATTTGTTTAGGAAGATAGCAAGATAGTTAGAAGACCGCAGTGCTCGGGGAAGGGAGATTTGGGCCTAGTAGTGCCCTTCCCAGGTGCTTTCAACCACTTTAGAGGATTATAACAGACTATAACAGAATAATGGAGTTGGAAGGGACCTTGGAGGTCCTGTAGTCCAACCCTCTGCTCAGACAGGAGACCCTACACCATCCCAGACAAATGGCGATCCAATCTCTTCTTAAAAACCTCCAGTGATGCAGATCAAAGTGGGACATAAAGGAATAATTTCACAAAAGGGAAAAGAGGAGGAAGGGAGGCTGTTATAATAAATTGAATCACTTAAAGTGTAGTCTAATTACAGGTAGTCCTCGACTTACAACAGTTCATTTAGTGACCATTCAAAGTTACAACGGCAGTGAAGAAAGTGATTTGTGACCCATGATCATGTGATCAAAATTCAGACGCTTGGCAACTGATTCATATTTATGACGGTTGCAGTAACCCAGGGTTATGTGATCCCCTTTTGTGACTTTCTGACAAGCAAATTCAATGGGGAAACGAGACTCGCTTAACAACCATGTTACCAACTTAACAACTGCAATGATTCACTTAACAACTGTGGCAAGAAAGGTTGTAAACTGGGGCATAACAACTGTCTTACTTAGGAACAGAAAGGTTGGCTCAATTGTGGTCGTAAGTTGAGGACTACCTCCTAAACCTAATTATTTATCCACCAATGGCTTTGTCCATCAATTAGACTTAGAATAACTCTATTGTCACTTTAAATGTACACTAATCGGCATACATCAAAACGACATTTCGTTGCATGCAGCTTCAAAGGGTCACCACCTCCAATATGCACTACATAAACATGACAAAATAAATGCAAAATGATGCATATACCCACATATCTCGTATGCCCGCATATATTAATCGCAGCAATGTTGATATATTTCTTAAGTGGGCTTCCTCCTCCCTGTCCGGTTTGCTGTGATTTAAAGTTCTTTCTGGGAAGCCAGGGAAGAAAGTAAACTGCCTCTCCCCCCCCACCCCCAAAATTAGGAGCTGTTCCAGGCTTCAGCCCTTTGAACAGATTGACACACAAAGGATGGAAATTCCCTCCCCTCCAATGCAGGCCAATGGTTTACACACACTCCACAGTTTGTTTTGTTATTCATTTTTTGTTACTCTCCGGAGCCCACACAAAAGAGCAAAAAAAATTGCAGGAAATGTTTTGGGAAGCAACCCATCAGCAGCCGCGCTTAACTTAGAATTCAAATGTGGCTTTTAGGGGCTGCATGCTTGAGTGTGCCGCTGAAAATTTGAAAATTAACAAAAAGTCCTGGGTTTTTTTTGTTTTTTCTTTTTTGCCCTTCTTTTTTTTTTTTTTCCGTGAGATGTCATCTTTTGGAAGGTAACATCATGTAAAACAGCTGCCATTACCGAGTCCCGCAAATGGTTTTCCTATGTAAAATGGCTTTGTAAAATATTTGCTCCATCTGCTGAAAGGAGCAAAAGACAATTTTCCTTGATACCTAATGGCCCATTTCAGCTGGATGGGAAGCGATTTGCCCGCCTAGCGCCTTGCGTTGGACCAAATGGCGAGGGCCCTTCCGCACAAGCCTCTTCTTAGGCGGCATTATCTCCCCTCGGCTTGGCTTCGGCTTCTCCTCATTACTGGCCCTTCGCTCGGGATCAGCGCACAGGCCAAGGGCAGCCATTGTTGTGCTTCAGTGGCCCGGCTGTTTGCCTCGCCGGTGGCCAGGAGGAGACCGGGCCTCTTGCAACTTTCCGCCACTTCATTTTCCTGCTTTTCTCCCTGCACCGTGCGGGCCGCGCTCATCTCTTCTGCCTCACTGAGGT